ATTGTCCAAAGAAAAATTTAGCTAGTCAAATATACTTCCATTAAACATAATTCAAAATTCCAAGTAATTTTTAAATAAATACAACTTAGAGATGTTTCTGTTTAGGCATCTCTAGCTATTTGAGGAATATCACCTTAAGTGACCACTCTTCCAATCAACACATAAAACACAAAGATTATACTCTACTTATATAAAATGGATCCACTTTAAAATGCGTCTTTAACTCTTGTCTTTCCAGCTGTCCATCTTTGTACCATTACCTCTTTTTCAAAAATCTTTACTCAGGCCTAAACAGCAACCTGATTTCACAGCAATGTATCTTTCAAAGCTATTAATATTTATATAAACCAATCGTTCCTAACTAACACCAGCAAATCTTGGAAATACAGATTTATATGAAAGCAATGTTGGATTTAGAATTTCATACAGCTTGGACAGGAGTAGAAAGAATTTCTATTCAGGAAATAAAAGTTGCTGGGAAAAGAAAACACTAGATAAGTAGTTCTAGAGTGTCTAGTAAATTATTATTAATAGTCTCTTTTATTTGGCTGTGATTATAAAAAATTATCTCTAGTAAAGGTTTTGGTTTCATTTTCTAAGAATGCTTTCTCTCTCTCTCTTTAAATTTTATTTTTGCCATAGGGTGTGTGTGTTCATGGAGAAAGTCAGAGAAACACAGAGAGGGAAAAAGAAAGCACCTCCCCACAGGGATGGCCACATCACAATCCCTTCTCTCCAAATTTAGGGCACGCATGCACACATGCCCAGCCTGTTTTTCAAGCTGCCAGTCCAGGACTCAAACTATGCAGTGAGCCATGAGAAATACAGCACTTTAACCACCACACCCCCAGTTGGCCCTTCTTTTTGTTTTTGTTATTATTTTAAGGAAATTAAATGGATAAATAGTATCTTGCTTTCTAAACCAAAGGTTTTTATGTGTGGTCACTCTCTAGGGAGTGAAAAAATAACCTTTAACAATAATAACAATAATTTGGCTTCTGGAGCTAGCAGGTGTCACGGAGGTTAAGGCACTAGCTCCCACATGGCCATCTTTGCAGCTCGAGTCCTGGACCTGGCTACTTTAGAATCATGCCAGGTGCATGTGCATGTGTACCCAAAATCCCCAGAGGAGACTGGAGGAGAAGAGGCTGCAGCATGGCTATCCCCTTTAGGGGATGATTTCTCACTTTCCCTCCCTCTCTGGTAAGTGTGCATACAGTATAGCAAAAACTTAAAAATAAATAAATAAATAAATAAATAAGGCCTCTGAATTTTAAAATGCTACTATTGACTTGTATTACTTCTCTTGACCTGTATAAATGGGTACTAAACTCACTCATAACCCCAATCTATTTGAAACTTTTTTTTTCTATTTGAAACTTAATGAAAAGCAGATATAGCTAAATTTACAGACTCTACAGTATTTTTTCCATTTTTAATTTTAAATATCATAATGGCTAATCTTAAATGATATAGATGACATTAATAAAATTAAGAAAAAAAGTATGTCTGACTCCTCAAAAGTTTTTTTCAAATAAGATAAACTGAGTTTTACAGAATATAAACTCTCTTTGATTCTTCCCACATAACTTACAGCTATCTCTTCTCCCCCTTACCTGTTTTTTTGTCCCTCTTAAAACTGCTTAATGATGAAATGACTATTACTAAATCATTGCCTTAATATCATGCTTGAGAGGAAAGCTACATCTTTAAACTCTAAAACAACACAAATAAATCGAAGTGTATCTAAATCCAAAAAGTTCAAATTAAAGTAAGTAGCCATACAATTGCTTAAGTTACTCTGCTTTTAACATTTGTACTTGGATACAATGCTTATGTATGTATAGGAATGTCACAGTGTAAGATGCTGCTAGCCCAGGTACAGAGTATTAAAATTATTTTGGGGGGGAGAAATAAAAAGTAGCCATAATTTTCTTTCTTTTCAAAATACTGCCATATTGTCTCTGTAGAATACATCCTCCTTACATTCCCAGCATATCATCCTATCACATACTGACCATGGTACTCAATCTGTATGCAAAGTTTATATGCCAAGATGTAAATCTTGTCCAATGTCAAAAAAAAAAAAAAAAAAAA